GTCCTACAGACATAGGGGTCTTGGGGAAGGTGCTATAGACATAGGGGTCTTGGGGAAGGTCCTATAGACATAGGGGTCTTGGGGAAGGTCCTATAGTCATAGGGGTCTTGGGGAAGGTCCTATAGACATAGGGGTCTTGGGGAAGGTCCTATAAACATAGGGGTCTTGGGGAAGGTGCTATAGACATAGGGGTCTTGGGGAAGGTCCTATATACACATCAGTGTCGAAGAAAATGCCTCTATTCACTACTACAATACCACTGATCCCCAAGAAATTCTGTTAAGTACATGGGCCAGGTATTTGGCCACGTACGGGCGTGTATTTCTAGCAGATATTTGCTAGACATAGCACAACAACAACCAGCCGTCTGACGTATGAACGTTCGTGTGCCCCGGAGCGCTGCGTCTCACCAACGTCAGCCATAAGAGTCGCAATGACTTCTTTTGTTATCATCATGTATAAAGATAACTACATTTACGCTGCTACCCCCTAGACTACATGAAGAGTTACGTAGCGTCAAATCCCCGTCTCGCAGGATGGTATTTATTATTATTTTTATTGACAAAATTAATTACAATTTTGCTTAATCTGAGGATTTTGATAAAGTCTTATTAATTAAAGTGAGGATAATGCTGGTATTCACTGTCACGCAGGACGGAGGGTCATACATAAGACAATAGGTCTAAACTGTAGGCTGAAGCATATATTTATCATGGTTACAATCAATGTTTTAATGTATGGATATGTGAAAACAACTTTCTATTGTGCACTGCCACACAAGGGCAGGGATGGGTTCATAGGTGATGTGCATGAGATAACTTTTGGAAGCATTATGATGATGTTGTTTAAGATTTGCTATCTGGAACAAAAAGTTCCAAGTAGCACGGGCTATGGTGAGCCCGTAGTGGACTTAAGCATTATGAGGATACAAACACGAAACATCATGAAGTTCAATAGACTCAGCGTATACTACACATCTCCAAACTTAATGGGGGTCACCATGGAAGCTGATCCCCGTTTAAGGGGTAAGGGGTCGGCAATGGGACCGACCACGACTCTCCATCCTCAAATCCCCGTGCAAAGTTGGGCGAGTCTATCCTGAAGAGTCTGGCCTCCCACCTTGGGCCAGACAGACATCCTATTTTATAGATCTAGATTAATTTATTCTCATAATTAGCCAGACCCACGAGCCATCAATGGGAACATGGAGCCTCAGGTTACTGCCAATATTCCCAGGGGAGATCTTCAGCCACTTGAGCTATGAAGACATGGCTTGCGTGATGCTCTTCCCGCCATGATGTAATATATATAATGTTGCAGGTAGTCTATATGTTGATGGCTGCAAGTATACCCACCATGACCCACCTCCCGTTCCTCCATCACCGCCCACCGCCCACTCCTCCATCACCGCCCACCGCCCACTCCTCCATCACCGCCCACCGCCCACTCCACCATCACTCTCCTGGGTCCTGCACCAGCCCAGTCTACAAGTCACATAACGGAGCTCATCACAGGGTCCGTCACCTAGACCATATTCATCATGATTTACAAGCCCTTCCATCACATCACAATAGGGTGAGAGGCATCACTGTGGGTTATAAACCTTAAATTACAAAAACATTACAAATACACTGACCCATATCATGAGGGATAAACGTATGTTGCCTCACTCTAGCAGTCCTCTAGAGTGACTACTTGAGAGTACACGAGTACATCTACAGTACATAAGAAGGGGAGTAATCCACCGGTTAATGGAACCTGGCATACATTACTTCACATAAACAGTCATATACATAATATAAACATGATGTAAGGTGTTATATACATTATCTTTCGCCTTATATAAGGCTTCCACCCAATTCAATTTCTTTTTTATTATGCACCCCATACCCATCCCGTGGGCGGTGGTGTAAAGGGTTACAGAGGCACATCATGGGTTCAGGAACTGAACCCCAGAGTTCGTTTAGCTAAGCAAGTGACAATCTTTTGAAGCTAGTTACACAATTGTTAATGTTATATGTACATGTACATACATTATATATATATATATATATATATATATATATATATATATATATATATATATATATATATAGGGGTACCACCACTGGTTTAATTAAAGGGACCCACATCCTCGAAGAAGAAAATAAATAGTGTTCAGAGAAGACCTTGTGGATTCTCACTGAATACTTTAATCTTTTCCTCTCCATATATATATATATATATATATATATATATATATATATATATATATATATATATATATATATATATATATAAGGCACAACTCTCCTAAACACGAGAGTGAAGTATACAACTTTAGAACACTTTCCCAACAGGAGACTCGAACCCTAGCCAGCACAGAAGCCTTCCAGCAACTGGCATAACAGGTACGCCTTAACCCTCTCCACCACCTGCTCAGACCCTTAAAAGAGATGGTAATTTCGGAGTATTTAAATACACCAAAGATCAACACCTCCCAAGAGCACTAGAGCAAGTGAGGGGTCATTTAGACGTTAATTTCATCAAGTCCCTGTTAATATGGGAAGACACAGTGTCTATGCTTAAGGCACAACTCTCCTAAACACGAGAGTGAAGTATACAACTTTAGAACACTTTCCTAACCTGACGTTAATTTGATGAAATTAACGTCTAAATGACCCCTCACTTGCTCTAGTGCTCTTGGGAGGTGTTGATCTTTGGTGTATTTAAATACTCCGAAATTACCATCTCTTTTAAGGTCTGAGCAGGTGGTGGAGAGGGTTAAGGCGTACCTGTTATGCCAGTTGCTGGAAGGCTTCTGTGCTGGCTAGGGTTCGAGTCTCCTGTTGGGAAAGTGTTCTAAAGTTGTATACTTCACTCTCGTGTTTAGGAGAGTTGTGCCTTAAGCATAGACACTGTGTCTTCCCATATTAACAGGGACTTGATGAAATTAACGTCTAAATGACCCCTCACTTGCTCTAGTGCTCTTGAGAGGTGTTGATCTTTGGTGTATTTAAATACTCCGAAATTACCATCTCTTTTAAGGGTCTGAGCAGGTGGTGGAGAGGGTTAAGGCGTACCTGTTATGCCAGTTGCTGGAAGGCTTCTGTGCTGGCTAGGGTTCGAGTCTCCTGTTGGGAAAGTGTTCTAAAGTTATATATATATATATATATATATATATATATATATATATATATATATATATATATATATATATATATATATATATATATATATGTATGTGTCGTACCTAGTAGCCAGAACTCACTTCTCAGCCTACTATGCAAGGCCCAATTTGCCTAATAAGCCAAGTTTTCATGAATTAATATATTTTCTCTAATTTTATTCTTATGAAATGATAAAGCTACCCATTTCATTATGTATGAGGTCATTTGTTTCTTATTGGAGATAAAATTAACGTAGATATATGACCGAACCTAACCAACCCTACCTAACCTAACCTAACCTATCTCTATAGGTTAGGTTGGGTTAGGTAGCCGAAAAAGTTAGGTTAGGTTAGGTTAGGTAGGTTAGGTAGTCGAAAAACAATTAATTCATGAAAACTTGGCTTATTAGGCAAATCGGGCCTTGCATAGTAGGCTGAGAAGTGAGTTCTGGCTACTAGGTACGACATATGTATATATATATATATATATATATATATATATATATATATATATATATATATATATATATATATATATATATATATATATATATATATATATATACAATCATTTACACAAATATTTATACATATCGATAATCTTTTTGCATCACAAGTGAGTCAACAAGAGGCTCACAACAGTCACTATACAAGGCACTTTACATCTATGGTGAGTCATACAGTTACTAGTCTTGCTGCACACCCACCCAACTGGGCGGCAGCTTTACAGTCATGTGCTCCACACCCACCCAACTGGGCGGCAGCTTTACAGTCATGTGCTCCACACCCACCCAACTGGGCGGCAGCTTTACAGTCATGTGCAGGCTGCACCTACAGTAAGCAAATTTTGGATACTTCGCTAAGATTCCCGGCAGTACATCATTATGAATGAAGTACTTACACATTTCTCTTGGAGACCATTGATGATGTTATCTCTAAATTCCTCGATTTTTTCACATTCCATTATATAATGACGCAAAGCACGCGAATAGTTCTGCTGACAGAGTTTACATTTAGTCAACTCTACATCAGCAGATGTTGCAAACTGCCTTCCCCGCCGCCTACCCTCACACCACTCACCGGGTCATCACCAGTGACTCCTTCAACACGCCCAAAGCATCTCAAGACGCCCTCCTCAATCGTGCGATTCATTTGACTTTTGCACTTCATATCTTTCCCTGACTTTCATTCCTTGCTGTAATTTTTTTCCTATCACACATGCTTCTCATATTATCAATTCCTTCGGCTCTAACTGCAGTTTGTTCACGTCCATACCACACCATCATCTCTCTAGCCATATACAAGAGTTTGAGCCGCCACTCGTGACATCTCCTAAACCAGGGATCTCATTCCACTCAGCCACTTTCCTTCTATGGCTGACTTGATACCTGTTTGATACCTGCTTGATGGGGTTCTGGGAGTTCTTCTACTCCCGAAGCCCGGCCTGAGGTCAGGCTTGACTTGTGAGAGTTTGGTCCACCAGGCTGTTGCTTGGAGCGGCCCGCAGTTGACTGTATTGTCAACTTCGACTGCACAAATTCCATTTGACCCATAACATCCCAGTACACTTCCCCCCACACATGTACTTCACACACATCTCTCTCTCTTTCTCTCTCTCTCTCTCTCTCTCTCTCTCTCTCTCTCCCTCTCTCTCTCTCTCTCTCTCTCTCTCTCTCTCTCTCTCCCTCTCTCCTCTTCTCTCTCTCTCTCCCTCTCTCTCTCTCTCTCTCTCTCTCCTCTCTCTCTCTCTCTCTCTCTCTCTCTCTCTCTCCACCACAGCTGACTAGGTACTCTATAGCAGTAAATATAATGATTTAAACATTCAACCTCTACTGCTATGATGGTCACCCACTTTGGTAACGCTGTTGAACCCGCGCTCTCGTGGCTTGCCGCGGGTATATACACAAGAGGCCAGCGCCCTCATGGCCAGCTGTGGCCGTACACAAGAGGCCAGCGCCCTTACGGGCCAGCTGTGGTCGTACACAAGAGGCCAGCGCCCTCATGGCCAGCTGTGGCCGTACACAAGAGGCCAGCGCCCTCAGGGCCAGCTGTGGCCGTACACAAGAGGCCAGCGTCCTCATGGCCAGCTGTGGTCGTACACAAGAGGCCAGCGCCCTCACGGGCCAGCTGTGGTCGTACACAAGAGGCCAGCGCCCTCATGGCCAGCTGTGGCCGTACACAAGAGGCCAGCGCCCTCATGGCCAGCTGTGGCCGTACACAAGAGGCCAGCGCCCTCAGGGCCAGCTGTGGCCGTACACAAGAGGCCAGCGCCCTCAGGGCCAGCTGTGGTCGTACACAAGAGGCCAGCGCCCTCAGGGCCAGCTGTGGTCGTACACAAGAGGCCAGCGCCCTCAGGGCCAGCTGTGGTCGTACACAAGAGGCCAGCGCCCTCACGGGCCAGCTGTGGTCGTACACAAGAGGCCAGCACCCTCAGGGCCAGCTGTGGCCGTACACAAGAGGCCAGCGCCCTCAGGGCCAGCTGTGGCCGTACACAAGAGGCCAGCGCCCTCACGGGCCAGCTGTGGTCGTACACAAGAGGCCAGCACCCTCAGGGCCAGCTGTGGTCGTACACAAGAGGCCAGCGCCCTCAGGGCCAGCTGTGGCCGTACACAAGAGGCCAGCGCCCTCAGGGCCAGCTGTGGCCGTACACAAGAGGAAAGCGTCCTCATGGCCAGCTGTGGTCGTACACAAGAGGCCAGCGCCCTCACGGGCCAGCTGTGGTCGTACACAAGAGGCCAGCGCCCTCAGGGCCAGCTGTGGCCGTACACAAGAGGCCAGCGCCCTCACGGGCCAGCTGTGGTCGTACACAAGAGGCCAGCGCCCTCAGGGCCAGCTGTGGCCGTACACAAGAGGCCAGCGCCCTCAGGGCGACCTGTGGCCGTACACAAGAGGCCAGCGCCCTCATGGGGACCTGTGGTCGTACACAAGAGGCCAGCGCCCTCAGGGCCAGCTGTGGCCGTACACAAGAGGCCAGCGCCCTCAGGGCCAGCTGTGGTCGTACACAAGAGGCCAGCGCCCTCACGGGCCAGCTGTGGTCGTACACAAGAGGCCAGCGCCCTCAGGGCCAGCTGTGGCCGTACACAAGAGGCCAGCGTCCTCATGGCCAGCTGTGGTCGTACACAAGAGGCCAGCGCCCTCAGGGCCAGCTGTGGCCGTACACAAGAGGCCAGCGCCCTCAGGGCGACCTGTGGCCGTACACAAGAGGCCAGCGACCTGTGGCCGTACACAAGAGGCCAGCGCCCTCACGGGCCAGCTGTGGTCGTACACAAGAGGCCAGCGCCCTCAGGGCGCGCTGTGGTCGTACAAGAAAGTAGCCGCCATTCTCGTCCACTATAAAAAGAAGTTGACAAAAAGAGATCATTCAACTGTGAATAATGTCTTCAAGGTGTTGAATGATCATCACTCATGTGCTGCGTTTACTCAAGGGAGACGGGGCACCAAAAAATAATTTCTTGAATGTTAATGACAAAAAAAAGTCGCCATTGTTTGCATTCCGGATGTAACTAAAGCTAGTTTGTTGAAGCCTCCGTTTTCACGCCCCGTCAGCTGTTTACACTCGCGCAGTTGCTGGGTTGGTTGGAGTCTTTCGGTCTGATGGTCGCTCAACTTTAACCAAGTTGTTTTAAGTCTGTTTTATCTTATGGCAAAGGCAGCTGTGTGTACTCACCTAATTGTGCTTGCGGGGGTTGAACTCTGGCTCTTTGGTCCCGCCTCTCAACCGTCATCTGTGTGTTTGTGTGTGTGTGTGTGTGTGTGTGTGTGTGTGTGTGTGTGTGTGTGTGTGTGTGTGTGTGTGTGTGTGTGTGTGTGTGTGTGTGTGCGTGCGTGTGCGTGGGTGCGTGCGTGCATGTGTGCACTTTACTTGTGCATTTGCAATAACAGGGCGTTTATTGCAACCATCCCGACAGACGGGGCGGTGTTGCTCGCTCCCCGACAGCTAAATTAGTTCCAAAAATCATCACCATATTATCCCAAACCAAAAACGTTTAAAATACACCAGAAAACTCTCCACAAACTTCTCAACCAAATAAATCAACTCGCACTGCATGAAACAAATTACAGGTGACAGCAAGCACTGCATGAAACAAATTACAGATGACAGCAAGCACTGCATGAAACAAATTACAGGTGACAGCAAGCACTGCATGAAACAAATTACAGGTGACAGCAAGCACTGCATGAAACAAATTACAGATGACAGCAAGCACTGCATGAAACAAATTACAGGTGACAGCAAGCACTGCATGAAACAAATTACAGATGACAGCAAGCACTGCATGAAACAAATTACAGATGGCAGCAAGCACTGCATGAAACAAATTACAGATGACAGCAAGCACTGCATGAAACAAATTACAGGTGACAGCAAGCACTGCATGAAACAAATTACAGATGACAGCAAGCACTGCATGAAACAAATTACAGATGACAGCAAGCACTGCATGAAACAAATTACAGATGACAGCAAGCACTGCATGAAACAAATTACAGATGACAGCAAGCACTGCATGAAACAAATTACAGATGACAGCAAGCACTGCATGAAACAAATTACAGATGACAGCAAGCACTGCATGAAACAAATTACAGATGACAGCAAGCACTGCATGAAACAAATTACAGATGACAGCAAGCACTGCATGAAACAAATTACAGATGACAGCAAGCAAAAAAAAAAAAAAAAAAAAAAAAAAAAAAAAAAAAAAAAAAAAAAATAGAGTAATCCACAGCGAACCTCTGATAAAAGCCACAGTGATAGAACCTGGTTAAACGGCCTCCTAACAATACATTTTACACCGACATTAATTCCTCGGGTAAAACGAAAGCGACGTTCATTGGTCGTTTGGTTTACCGTGGTTTAGCCAATCGGAACGCCTCATCGCCTGGTTGGAATTACCCAACTACGCCCGGGGGGGGGGGGTTCCCACTGGCTATCGGTGCTAATGTATGTGCAGGGGGGAGGGGGGGGGGGGAAAGGGAGGAGGGAAAAAAAGGGAGGCGGGGAAGAAAAGGGGGAGCGGGGAAGAAAAGGGGGAGGGGGGAAGAAAAGGGGGAGGGGGGAAGAAAGGGGGAAGGAGAAGAAAGGGGGAAGGGGAAGAAAAAGGAAGAGGGGAAGAAAAGGGGGGAGGGGAAGAAAGGGGGAGGGGAAGAAAGGGGGAGGGAAGAAAGGGGGAGGGGAAGAAATGGGAGAGGGGAAGAAAAGGGGGAGGGAAGAAAAGGGGGAGGGGAAGAAAGGGGAGGGGAAGAAAGGGGGAGGGGAAGAAAGGGGGAGGGGAAGAAAGGGGTAGGGAAGAAAGAGGGGAAGAAAAGGCGGGAGGGGAAGAAAGGGGGAGGGGAAGAAAGGGGGAGGGGAAGAGAGGGGGAGAGGGAAGGGGGAAGAAAAGGGGGGAGGGAGAGAGAGAGAGACAAAGTAAACAATGGAACAGAGAATACAATACGAGGTAAACACAGTTTACAAACTCATTACCGAATATCTGGCCCCAGACACAGCAACAAAGAAAACGGGATCCCGGGACGGGTAGGCGGCACTCAAACATTCCTCACGTCAATAAAATTCAATATATAAAAATAATTGCGGTGGTCTGGGACGCGGGTCTTGTGGGCTTATATCCAAGTCCCACCTAGGCTGAGCTATTGACCTTCCTCACGATGCAACCCACAACAGTTGCCTAAATCCTTGGGTATACATATTTAGTGCTTGGTAAACCGTTATCAGACGAGAGGAAAATATTGCTCAAACGGTTAGGTCCTGCCGCGGGAATTGAACCCGAGACCTTTCGGCTGTGACCAAACTGTATTTACTATTAAAGAATATTTCTGGTGTTTCTGTGTCTTTATTATTTTTTTTTACACTTAACTTATTGTTGTGTCGTCTGCATAATGCTATCTTATCTTGAGGTTATCTTGAGATGATTTCGGGGCTTAGCATCCCCGCGGCCCGGTCCTCGACCAGGCCTCCTTTTGTTACACACCTTCCAGGAAACAGCCCGTAGCAGCTGTGTAACTCCCAGGTACCTAT